GCGGAGGGGCGGGGCCCCGAGCCGTCGGGCAGGTAGGTGGCACCCAGCGCGGTGACACCCAGTGCAGTGACACCCAACACGGTGACACCCAGCGCGGTGACACCCAGCAGTGGCACCCAGTGACACCCACACAATGACACTGTGCTGGTGGCATCCAGTAGCACCCAGCACGGTGACACCGAGCATGGTGGCACCGAGCATGGTGACAGCTAGTGTGGTGACACCCAGCACGGTGGCACGCAGCACATTGACACCCAGCGCGGTGGCACCCATTGCAGTGGTGTCAGCGGACACCCGGTTTCGCGGGCTCCCAGGCGCGGGGTGCAGCCTGGYGAGGGGTGCCCTGGTGCTCGGGGCGCGGGCGATTGGCACCTTCCCGGCTGGCCGCGGTGCTGGCRCTCCAGCGGCTGGCACAGCCTGTGGTGGGTGGGTGCCGGGAACAGCGGGGTGTCTGTGCGGATGCCCTTGGGGTGATTCCGGAGGACTCGTTCTGGAGGGCTGCTCCTGGTGACGTCCCGCAGCGGGCACTGTGCAGCYGCCCTGTCACCAGCCTCGTGCCAGGCTCCACCGCGGTGATCCCATCCCCTCTGCCTCCTTGGAGGGCCCTGCTCCCTGCCCGAGGAGCCCAGCCGGGGTGCCCTGTGGGGCTGGCAGTGCCCAGGGGGCTGGGGCCACGGGAAACCCCCCCTTGGCCGCTGGGACTGTGCTGTGGGGCTCGGCGCCCGCCGCGGCCTCACGCTCCTCCCGCCCCGTTCCAGCTCTCTGAGCCTGGGAGCTGCAGGAAGCGCCGGGAGCTGCCCGGAAGGATCATGTGATGGTGTCCGCCGTCCCGCATGTGATGGTGACCACGTCCCTGCTCCGCGCGGCCAGGATGGGGCCGCCCGTGCTGGCCGTGCTGCTGACAGCAGGAATCCTGCGCGCGCAGGTCGGCAAAGCGAGGAACGTTCGGGAGAGGCGCGCGGGGCCGCGCGGCAGGGCCCGCCCGGGCTGGCGCCGGCTCTGCTGCTTCCCTGCTSCCCGGCCCCACATCCGGCCTCTTCCTGCCGCAGCTTCCCCGTGGCACCGGCCCTGCACGGGTACCGCGGCCCTGCACAGGACACAGGGGATGCGGGGGTTCCCCTGCTCACCCCGGGGCGGGCACGGGATGTTCCTGCCGGGAAGCGCTGCCTGGGGACTGGGACGGGGCACTCGGTGGTGTCCGTGTCCCCACGGCCGCCCCGCTCCCGCAGGCAGCGCCGCCGGCGCGCTCCTTCCAGGTGGACTATGAGGGCGGCTGCTTCCGGAAGGACGGCGCCGCGTTCCGCTACGTCTCGGGCAGCCTGCACTATGCCCGCGTGCCGCGCGCCGCCTGGCGCGACCGCCTCCTCAAGATGTCCATGGCCGGGCTGAGCGCCGTGCAGCTGTAAGCGCCCGCTGCCCCACAGCGCCCGGCGGACCCCCGGGCTCCCCGGGGTGCCCGGGCCTCCCTCAGGGCGGTTTGTTGTTCGATGCAGCCACCGAGCTGGGGAGGGGAGCCCAGGTCTGCCCTGTCCCCACCAGGCACAACGTAAGCCCTGGGTAGCCCCATTGCCCTCGGCTCCCTGGGGAGCGGGCCCTGCCTGCGTCCTGGGAGCACAGGGGAGAGGAGACAGTTCCCTGCTCCACGTGTCCTTTGCCCACTCGCACTAGCCRCCGCTCTCCCCGCCAGCTACATCCCCTGGAACTACCACGAGCCGCTGCCGGGGGTTTACGACTTTGCCGGGGAGCGGGACGTGGARGCCTTCCTGGACCTGACGGTGGAGCTGGGGCTGCTGGTGATCCTGCGCCCGGGGCCCTACATCTGCGCCGAGTGGGAGATGGTGAGCGCCAGCCTGCCTCGGGGCTGGCTGCTGCCCCGGGTGCCGGCCCCGGCGCCCTGCCCGCCACAGGCAGCAGCACCCGCGGGTGCGACGGTGCTGCTCACGTCCCTGAGCAGCGTCCCTGTCCCCGTCCCCGCCGCGGGGTCTCTCCAGGGCGGCCTGCCTGCCTGGCTGCTGTGGAAACCAGACATCGTGCTGCGCTCCTCCAACCCCGGTGAGCCGAGCGCACGGCCGCGYGGTGCCCGCTGGAACCCGTGCCCGCGTGCTGCGCTGTGCTGCTCTCGCTCCCRGCAGCCGCCAGCCCCAGAGCGCTCGTCTTCTCTCTCATGGGGGAGAAGAGTGGACGCTTTGCCTCTGCTCCCAGCCCTGCCCCGTCTGCTCCCATCTCGTGCTTGCAGTCCGGGCTGCATGTGGGGCTGCGGGCTCCCTGCAGCCCAGCCAAGCATCTCTCTGCACCCCCAGACTACCTGGCGGCTGTGGACTCCTGGCTGCACGTGCTGCTCCCCAAGATGAAGCCCCGGCTGTACCCGTACGGAGGCAACATCATCAGCGTGCAGGTTGGCTGCTCTGGCACTCGCTCCCTGCCCTGCCGGCTCATCTCCAGCCTTGTCCTGCAAAGCCACCCGCCTGTCCTATGCCGTGCCCTCCCGGTGTCCCGTTCCCAGGTGGAGAACGAGTACGGCAGTTACTACGCGTGCGACCACAACTACCTGCGGCACCTCCTGGGCACCTTCCGGGCACTGCTGGGGCCCGACGTGCTGCTTTTCACCACGGACGGCACGCGGGCRGAGGAGCTGCGCTGTGGCACCCTGCCTGGCCTCTACGCCACCGTGGACTTTGGGCCAGGTGCTCCATGGACAAGGAGGATAGCGGGTGAGGGTCCCATCCCTGACCCTCCCCAACGTCTCTTCATGATTTCCGCAGGCTCCAACATCACGGAGGCGTTCGGTGCGCAGCGCCTGGCGCAGCCCAAGGGGCCCCTGGTGAGCTTGGTGTGGGCACCCTAGAGTTAGCGGGCGGATGTGGCTTTGGGGAGGCAGAGGGGCCCCAGGCGGYGCCAGGAGCCCCAGCTGAAGCCAACAACCGCCTCGCTTCCACAGGTGAACTCCGAGTACTACACGGGCTGGCTGGACTACTGGGGGGAGGCGCACGCCAGCATCAGCTCYGCGCTGGTGGCCCGCGGCCTCGAGGCCATGCTGCGCCTGGGGGCCAACGTCAACATGCAAGTAGCTCGCTGGCTGGCACTGGGCGCGAGCCAGGCTGCCGGGCCCCGCCAAGGGTGCTGGAGCGGGCACCGCCGCTCGTCTGGGGCGCCTGTGCCGCAATGGGTGCGGGTGCTCACCGCGGTGCCGGCGCTTGCGCAGGTACATGTTCCACGGGGGCACCAACTTCGCCTACTGGAGCGGTGAGTAGGGCCATGTCCGGAGAGGCTCTGGCATCGCGGGGCTGGGCATGTGGGACAAGCCCTGGCCGCCTCCAGGGAGGCTGTCCCAGGGCGCCCTCCCAGTCCTCCTGGGTGGGCTGACCCGTGCTCTTGTCCCCCTTTGGCACCCTCAGGCCGCAGCCCTGGGGCTGGTCCCCYTGCGCTGCGATGCCGCCAGCCTAGGACCGGTCCCCAGCAGCAGGACATTGGGGTGCAGGGCCCCAGCTCTGCCGCACAGCCCCTTCCCGCAGCCCCCTTTGCTCTCCCTGGCCAGGTGCCGACTTCAAGGAGGGCTACAAGCCCGTGACCACCAGCTACGACTACGATGCGCCGCTCTCGGAGGCCGGAGACCCCACGGAGAAGCTCTTTGCCATCCGCACGGTTATCAGTAAGGTGCTGAGCCTGGCGGGATGGGGGGGACCCCGCCGGCAGCCTCCTGCCCCGGGCGCCACGCGATGCGGGGCGGCCAGCACGGGCACCGCTGCCTGCCGTGGGGCACAGGGCTCGCCGAAGCAGCCGGTCGGGTTGCCGCGTGCTCCCGGCTCCCGCGTGTCCAGCGGGACGCCTCATCCAGCAGCCTGCCGTTCAGTTCCAGCCCGTGCCCGCCGGCCCCATGCCGCCTGCCAGCCCCAAGCAGGCGTACGGCCGCGTGGCCCTGCGGAAGGTGCGTGCCTGCCCGCGGGCTGGGCAGCCCTGCCTGCCGCGGCCCCGCTGCCCACCGCCCGCCTCCTTGCAGTATGCCGACCTGCTGGACGTCTTGGACGTGCTGTGCCCCTCCGGGCCCATCCGGAGCCAGTTTCCCCTCACCTTCGAGGCCATAAAGCAGGTGAGGGGCTTGGCAGAGCAAGGGGCGCCGGCACAGATGCTCCCGCGTTGCCTGTGTGCCCTGCGCGGTGGAGCAGAGCAGGACCCCGGCTCTGGGGCGGCGGGAGGAGCTGGTGCCGGCCCCGCTTCCCAGCGGGCGCGYGGTGCCCGCAGGCCCACGGCTTCGTGCTGTACCGCACGCGCCTGCCCCGYGACGTCCCGGCGCCCGCCGCGCTCAGCGCTCCTCCCCACAGCGTCTGTGACCGCGGCTACGTGATGCTGCAGAGGGTGAGCGCTGCGGCACCCGGCCCTGCGTCCCGGGGGCTGCCTGGAGCACGTTACCGTGCCAGGGCCTTGGGGACGGCCTGGGGGCTACAGTCCTGTGTCCGCCCCGCAYCATGGGGACATGGCAGGGGTGGTGGTTGGGGTGCTGGGAGCCCCCCAGGGCGGCTGTGCTGCCCCTGTGGCTGCAGGAGTACCAGGGGACGCTGGAGCGGGATGGGCAGCCGGAGCTGCAGGTGGCAGGCAGGGAGGGGGACACCCTGGACGTGCTCCTGGAGAACATGGGCAGGATCAACTTCGGCGCCAACGTCAGCGACTTCAAGGTGAGCAGAGAGGGCCCCACCAGCCATGGGGGGACACAGCCTGGGCACCGCGTGGCCACACAGCCCTCCCAGCCACCCTTGACAGACCCCRGCCCCGGTAGCTTTTATGCCTTCCAGTCCTCCTTATCCCAAATGGAGGGACAATCCCTTTTCCTTCACCACCCGAGGTGATAAATGCAGCAGGAGCCAGGGGCGGGCAGCAGGACGGGCACTGCCCACCCCTGCATGCCACCGTGGATGCCAGGACGCACGTAGCCCCATGCCTAGGGCTGGCGGGGGGCAGCCAGGTSCCCGGGCAGAGCCCGCGGCCTCCCGCTCCCTGCAGGGCCTGCTGGGCAACCTCTCCCTGGAGCGCAGCCCGCTGCGCGGCTGGCAGCTCTTCCCGCTGGCCATAGAGGCGGCCGTGGGGCAGGGCTGGCCCCACGCTGCGCCCCRCCGGCCGAGCGGCACCGCCGCGGTGGGCCCAGCCTTCTACACGGGGGCCTTCGAGAGCCCCGGCGGCGCCAGCGACACCTTCGTGGAGTTCCCAGGGTGGCGCAAGGTGAGGCCGTGGGTACAGCGGGCAGGAGGGGCCACGGGGCACGGCTCACGGTGCTCTCCCCGCTGCAGGGCCAGCTCTGGATCAACGGCTTCAACCTGGGCCGCTACTGGCCGCAGCGCGGGCCCCAGCAGACGCTCTTCGTGCCCGGCTCGGTGCTGCACGCCGGCCGCCCCAACAACATCACGGTGCTGGAGCTGGAGGCGGCGCCGCCCGCGCCCTCCCTGCTCTTCCTCGACCACCCTCTCTTCAACAGGACCCTCAGCCGCAGCGCTGCGGCTGCCAAATAAAACCAGGGCAGCCTGGCCCTCCCACCACCTCTGCGTGGGGCTGGGGAGATGGGGAGSAAGGGACACGGGAAGGGCTGGGAGCCCTGGCACAGGCACCTGCCCTCCCTTGAGGGGTGCACGAGGAGAAGGCAACCCAGCTTCACTCCATTCTGCACCAGTCTCCCACAGCTCATCTTAGCTGTGTCAGTGCTCCTGCCACATCCCCCAAACCCCCCCACACAGCAGGCTGGGCTCAGCAGCTTCAGACACCTCTTTATTGACAGCACAGGCACAGGAGGTAGGTGCCAACACAGCATGGTGGACCTGCCACCAGCACCCATGGGAGGAACAAGCCTAGGTCCAAGGGGCCCAGAGGCAGCAGTGTGCACGGTAGCAGGGAGAAGAGCAGCCAGCAGCATGCCCSCTCCGGAAGGAGCCTGGGACACGGAGCAGCCCTGGGCACTCAGCACCAAGGGGATCCCAGCTCCACTGACCACGAGCCCTCCTGGAGCCCCGTGAGCGCCGGGGCTGCACAGAGCCTTGATGCAGCCCAGCCCCTCCACACAGCAGCCCCTGCCCCGCAGCCAGCGCTCAGCTCCGTCTCCCTGAGGCGGGTCCTCGGTGGCAGCCCCCAGCCCTACGTGTGGCTGGCCCGGGCACGGCGGTGGCTTTGCAGGCAGGCGGTGGAGCAGAAGGAGAAGTYGAGGTAGTGGAAAGGGATGCGGCCCAGCAGGGACTCACCACAGAGCCAGCAGCGGCTACACAAGAGAGCAGAGGTGGCCCTGAGTGCTGGGGACACTTGCAGAAAGAGCAGAGAGCAGCAGCACAAGCCCAAGGCAGCTGGCAGTCCTCTGGTCCCAAGGCAGGCGCATCCAGGCACAGGACCTGCAGCCTGGCCAGGGCACGCTCCCTGCAGGCAGCACGGTGCAATAGCCTGTTGTGAGACACCTTGGAGCAGGATGAAYGTGGGAGAAACTGGCTCCACGTGCACATAGGGAGCCCCTGCACAGAGGAGGGTGCAGGGCTGACTGCCTATGGGGCTGTGGGGTGACACAGAGAAGGGACAAGGTGGTACAGAAGTGGCAGGGAGGGCTAGCATGCCATAGCCCTGGCCTCAAGGGGATAGGGTTGCCCTTTGCAAAATATTCCTGGGGTTAAGTACAGCAAGGGAGACACCCCTGTAACAAGTACTGCTGGGAGCAGAAGGGCTGGGAAYGGGTTTAGGCTGCACGTGAGCAGAAAGGCAGGGAAGGGCCCTGCCCGTGTGGAAGAGATGGACTCTGCCCCGCTGACTGTGCTGTGCCCCCAGCGAGAAGCAGTCCCAGGGGAGAGAAGCAGCCCTGGCTATGGGTGAGGGCAGCCAGCCCCCCGGCACCCATGGGAGCCACGGGGCAGTTGGGTACCTGACGCTGGCGAGGGTGTCACCGGTGTCCTGCAGCTGCGCAGCCAGCCTCCGCTCGGCAGCCAGGGCCCTCTGCGGAGCAGGGGAACAAGTCAGCGTCCCCAGGCCAGGACGGTCCCGGCACTGCCAGGGCCTGAGCCACCAGAGACTGCAGCACCTGCCGGGCGAGCCCTCACCTTCTCCCTGTCCGAGAGGGCAGCAAAGCGCTGCTTCTCGGCCTGCTCCTGCTCCCGGCGCTGCCGCTCCTCCCGCTGCGCCTGCTCCCGCTGCTTCCGCTGCGCTTTCTGCGCCCGCTTCTTCTCCAGCTTCTTGGCTTCCATCTCTGCCGTCAGGGGCCCGGGCACCTGTGGGGAGCAAGGGCAGAGGCCAGTGAGCACCTCGCGCTGAGCTGGGGGCAAAGACAGGAGCGGCCTGGGGCAGGATGYCCCCGGGCTGGGCTCTGGGGTCCCGCGGCCCCAGCACAGGGCTGGCACCCACCTTGGCACGGCTGTAGTCGTACTTGTCCGGATGCTCCACCACGAACTTGCGGAAGGCGTTGCGGGTCGCTTTGTCAGCGGAGACGCAGTAGGGTGGCTGCTCCTGCCCGTCTCTGCACGCCAAAGCAGATCAGTTCAGCCCTGCTGTCTTGGTGCCTGTGCCCTGCTGGGCTGTGAGCCTAGGGACCCCCCCAAAATGCCCAACAGGGGCAGGAGGCTGGGATTCCCCGGCCAAGGCAGGAAAGCTGCCTATCTCCTCCAGCAGCAGCCGCCAAATCCTCCCCTTCTTGCAGAGGACAGTCTCACTGCAGCCCTCTGAACTGCCTATCCATGAAATGGGGAGCACTTCAGGGCACTGCCCACCTAACAAGGCCAGAGATCCTAACTGGGAAAGTAAAGAAGGGAAAGAGCCACCCTGGCTGTCCCAGGGCAAGGCTGAGTTTCCCATGGTGGGGGCAGGAGGGTGGCTGTGCAAGGGGTGCACCAGGGTGCTGCAGGGCAGTCTCCCWGGGCAGGGGCTGTTTGCCGGCCCCCCGTGATGGTACCTGAGCGCAGGGTCAGCCCCTGCCTCCAGCAGCAGGCACACGGCCTGGGCCTTGCCAGCACGTGCTGCCACGTGCAGCAGGGTGCAGCCGCGCTCGTCCACAGGCTGGTTGAGCAGGGAGCGGGCAGCAGCCTCCTGCCCGCCCTCGCCGTGCCCCGCTGGGCTCCCGCTCTCCGGCACCGCCAGGAGGTGCCGCAGGGTCCCTACGTCCCCCGTCTTGCAGGCTGTGAACAGGGCGTCACGGAGCTCGGCCTGGGGGTCTCCTGTGAGGGAAGGACAYGGAAGGGAGCCTGATGCCACGGGGCCGGTTGGCTCCTCGGGCACAGCAGTGTTCTGGTCTGTCCAGCAAACCTACACGGTGTTTAGTTAGAGCACGGATGTGCCTTCAGAGCCTGTGTGCTGACTGCACGCTCGTGGCACTGCTGGGCACAGCTGACAGCTGCCAGGCCCTCTCCTGCTGGGAGATGATCAGCTCCAAATCCCACCACACACCAGGCTTGGCCACATGCTGCCTGTCCCACAGAACATGCGCTAGGGGATTGGATCTGGTGGCCCTGGATACCCTCCCCTCTCCCACAGCTCCCACAGCAAGGAGCAGCAAGAAGAAGCAAGTTGCAGCGCTGTGGCATCCCAGGGCTGCTCTCATAGCACAGATCTTTGCTGCTCTAAGTTCTGGGACTCACAGTTCCTGCTCTGCACATCTCTGTGCACACTGCTTGCCTTAAAGCAAAAAGCTGCCTTATAGCTGTGCCAGCACCTAGCTGCCCTGGGCACCTGCCTGAAAGCTTCCTCTTCACCCCAAAGCAAAGCTCCCTGGCAAATAGGCAGCCCSCCCTGGCCCCACTCACCTTCACTGGCCCAGGAGAGGGGCTCAGCCTCTTGYGGCTCCGTTGCCAGCTCCAGGTCGTCTGTCTCCTCAGCACAGGACCCTGAGCAGGGAGCGAGCTGTGAGGAAAAGGCAGTGCTGCCCACACTGCAGGCAGGGCAGCTCCTTCCCCATGACCTTCCTCCACAGCTCCAGGCACGCTCTTCCTCCTCACCTGTCTCCACCTTCTTATCCTTCCTCCTCCTCCTCTTGCGGTTTCGCTTGGGCATCACTTCAAACTCCCGAAGGTCCAAGGTCCCTAGTGTAACCTCCACRGCCTCCAGCTGCCCTGCCAGGCTGTCCTCCTCTTCCTCCTCCGGCGCTGCAGGGGGTGACAGGCCAGGGGCTGGGGCCCCAAACACACTGTGATTGCTTGGACTCTGCCAAGCACASGCACCCAGCACAGAGCCACTTTCTGCAATGCCAGCCCTCGCAGTGGGGCATCAGCCCGGTCCATGACACCAGCCCCCCCGCCAGTTCTCAGAGCCAGGTTGCTCCCCAGAGCTCAACTCACCATTCACGTCCTCCCGCGGCGGATCCGTCTCTGCCGCTCGCCGTCCCTTTAGCCAGCCCTTACAGGGGCTCCCAGTGATATCTTCCAGCGGCGTGTCCTTCCCTGGGCAACAGCGGTGCTCCCATCACTGCCAGCCACAGGGGCAGCGTGTCCRGGGCCGAGGGCCCTGGCACCTCTGYGAGGGCACAGGGCAYGGGGCAGCACTCACTCACCGTACACGTGCAGGCTGGCCAGCTCGGCGTGCACCCGCAGCACCTCCCGCAGCGTGGCCCTGCGGGTGCTGAGCGGGATGTGCTGCACGCGGGGGTCTCCCTGCGCAAGGAGGGGGTTTCTGCCCCCAAAGAGCAGCGCCCGGTTGTGGCGGGGGGCRCGCAGGAAGATGCGCTGGGCTGCCTCCAAGTGGTGCGCCCAGCCTGCCAGCAGGTCCTGGATATCCTGGAGAGGGAAGGGGTGGGCATCGTGGGGTCCTGAACTGCACAGCGTGGGCAGAGGCAGCTCTAGAGCGGGACCAGCCTCAGGAGAGGGCCGTTCCAACCGCTTCCTGGCCTCCCTCTGGAGCTCACACTCCACGCAATCTCCATCCAGAGGCAGCACGGTGCCACCCCCAGGAGCCACCCCRGCTGTGCCACCCGCAGGAGCCGCCGGCCGTGCCCACCTTGAGCAGCGYGGCCTCGTTGTAGCGCCGCAGCGAGGCCCCGGCCGACCTGGGCGCCGCGGCCGGCGTCTGGGCATCGCGCAGCCCCTGCGAGGTGCCCCGCCGGGCTCGCACCGTGTAGCGGTGGAAGGTCTTGTGCTCCTGCACCTGAGGGCTGCAGACGGGGCAGGYGTGAGCAATACGGCACCAGGCACACGGGGAAGGAGACAGGTGCTTCCCGGGAGCCTGGAGGGCTTGTTGTCCCTGCCAGTATCCGAGAAACCTTTTCAGTTATTTTTTCTGCAGTAAGACTGGGCTTAGCCAACTCTTAAACGACAGCCAGGAGGTGCTGGTGCCCAGGGTGCGTGCAAGGCTGGTGAAGGAGGAAAGGAAGGGGGTGACTATGGGCAGTGAAGGCTCTGTCCAGCACCCAGTCCCACATGTCCCCACCCAGAGGGGCGGCCCCGGGCTCTCTGCCCTCTGCTGTACTCACCCCTGGAAGACAGCTCCTGCAAAGTGCCCGCCGCCCATCATCAGCACCACCCAGCAGGCGCTCGCGCTGAGGCCCTGCAGCGATGCCACCAGCTCCACTGGCTCCTCACTGCCACCCTGAAACACAGAGCCCGCTGACAGCGGCTGCGGGAGCCCCTTGCAGCCTCCTGCTGCCCTCTGGCACATGGGCCAAGCACTGCTGGCACAGAGGCAAGGGGGATTACAGACAAAAAGGAGCAGGGTTCACCCCGTCCTACCCCAACTACTGGGCTGGGCAAGGGGACCCAGGAGCTGCTTCAGCCCCAGTTTGAACCAGGGTTCATTAAGACCAGATGAGCAGAGAGCCTGGGTCTCTGATGTGGCACCACGGGCTGCCCTCCCCATCCAAGGGGGAGCTCCAGGCAATGCCTGCACCCAGGGCCACCCCCTCTCCGGGGTCCCTCCTCCAGCAGGCCGGGCTGGACTTGCCTTTCCAGAGGCCAGCACGCAGCGGTAGGCCGAGATGAGCTGTCCCCTCGCGTTCCTGAACAGCACCTTGTGCGAGCGGGGAAGCCGGGGCGCCTCGCGGCTSTCGCTGGCAGGAGGCCCTGAATCCGACTCGCTGCTGGAGTCGGAGCTCTCCGAATCTGATCCCGAGATGCTGGAAACATCACCTACAAAGGAGACGAAACAGAGCAGTGGAGCAGGGAGGATAGCGATCCACGGCCATTCCCCAAACCTTGCAGACTGCTCCAAGAGCTGGCCCAGGGCCCCAGAAACGCCCTGTCCAAAATCTCACATAGTCACAAGTGGGCTCTAGGCTGCGGACAGATGTGTCTGGGACCACGATCCCAGGGGCTCAGGTGGCACATAACCCCCTCCCCACAACAAGTTAGCGGGTCCAGGCCCAAGAGCAGAGCCAGGGGACCCCGAGGCAGAACAAGGGGTCCCGAGGCGAGCAGGGGCAGCTGGGGACCCGCGCGCCCAGCCCGGCGGGGGCAGCCCCGTCCCTCACCTGCGCGGGTCTTCTCCTCAAAGGCGCCGGCCGGCAGCGCGCGGCGGCCCCGCAGCCGCTGCTTGAGGTTGAAGCGGTGCCAGTCGAGGCGGTAGTGCTCGGCCTGCGGGGCGGCAGGGTGAGCCGGGGGGCACGGCGGGACCCAGGCGCCGYGCGGGGCTCCGCTCACCTGCTCCTGGCGGCTGCCGAAGGGCTGCGCGCAGGCGGAGCAGAACAGGCGCTCGGGGCCCGCGGGCGCGCCTGGCGCGCGCTCCTCGCCGCCCGCGCGGCTCTCTGCGGGGGGAAGGCAGGGCAGCGCCACGGGGCACGGGGCACGC